TTTACAAGTGCGTAACATAGTAAATTTTACTCTCAGCAGAACAAGTGCAGTTCTGTCAGTATAAAAATTAGATTGAATTGACCTATTATAAGATTTAAAGATAAAATTATTATCTAGAATCTCACCGGATTTTTATTATATTTTAATTTTAAAGCGAGTTATGAGTATTTTAAGATGTACAAATAATTTACAGTATTAAAATAAGTCACAAACAATCGATGAAATCTCGAATATTAAAAGCTAACTTATAATTTTGTATAGTTATGCCTATATATAAGATATAAATTGAATAATGAAGATAAAATACTTAACGTACATAATTATACGATATACATATTCCTACATATACATTTATTTTAGACTATAATGGTGCCCAAAAGTCCCAAATTGGAAATTTTAAATTTTGACCTCCTGAATACAATAACTAGATTCACTTTCCCATCGAACAAGATACTTTTGAAAAAAATCGAAAGAGTTTTACTACCCCAAACGGTGATGACAGACACAAAAATTAAAAAACTAAAATAAAAAACACACATCATTGTAAAATCAATACATTTATCGCTCCGCTTAGAATCTAAAATACATTTTATTTTAAATAAACTCTTAACTACCTATTATAATACCATAATAATATCCCAGACAGCATTTTTTAATGATAATATTATAATAGTATAATGACGTTATACTAATATTATTCGTTATTAAAATGTTATAATAATAGTATTAAACAAAAAATTGCTGTCCGGGTATATATATTATCTAAAATACACAAATTATATAATATGACGTTAATGATATTAATTTATTAATTTTATGTTGATATAAATATAAAATAAATGTTTTTGCAAATATATTAAAATTGGTAATTTAGGTTCTCTATTAACCTAAAACGGGTGGTCAACGATGAATAACAAATAAACAATACAATTTTCTGGAAAATATGTGCGCGATATCTTGAAACATTGTAGAAACATTGTAAAAACATTGTGGAAACATTGTAAAAAATATTGAACGCCAACTATCAGAATAAGTGTATTAGGAGCGTATGCTGTGATCGTGACGAATGTACGATGACCATCGAACGAGCAGCTACTGCCACCGCCGAGCGAGCCTTCGATATCGAAGATGGAAAAGCTACTATCACCGTCCTGCGACCCTGGTACCTAGTGCGTCCGATGGATTGACGCTGAAAAAAAGAAGATTGCACCGGCAATCGACCTAATTGACCGAATTGATTTTCGTACGTTATATTATTTATATTTTATATTATCATTTTATGAATCCTTAAATCGAAACATAAACCGTATTTCTTAACATTACTATATATACATTACTATATTAAACAGTTCTTAAATAGTTTAATATACGATATTACAATTTATTATTTTCGGGACTTGGGAAAATGGCTGAAACTTGGAAATTTTGCACTTAGAAGTCTTGAGAACTTTAGAGGAAGCTGCAATTAAAGCTGTAGGTAATCGGCCTTAGGCGTCGCGAAATTGTGTAGGCTTGAAGCACATTGTATATTTTAAATATTTTTACCATCTTACCCTTCATTGAACCAAAATTAGCAGCAGGGGCCATTAATAATTATTAATTATAATATTTCCCATGATATTTTTGTTGTGGCATTACGATTATATATATATTTATACACCCACCCACCCATTTCAGACATTTCAGCAATTGCTTCAAATAATCCTATATCCCGCAGCCACTGAGTCGGCCTAGGCAATATTATAATGCCCGAAATGTTATGGAAAGTTGGTTTGTGTAATAATAATAAATAACGTATAGCCTTCTAAGTTAATACCTACTTAATTACATTATACATTACACTATACTTAAATTACCTACTTATAAATACATGGTACCTCATACCTAGGTTATTTAAATACCTATTAGAATTATTAAATAGGTATTAAAAATGTTTTTATTAGATGTTTATTAAAAAACAGAGTTTTGCACTATAATCCAGAATCAGCTTCAAAATATATAGTGTCATGTTGTATTCTTCATTATATCTGTATCGACTGTATTAATGCAAATTTGCCCGTTCCTGAGAGAGAACCAGATGATCCTCTTGACATTGATTTTGGTATACATGGTATAATGAGTACATGGTATATGAGTACAATAACTTTTGGTTAGATCATATTTTACTTGATAGAAAATTCTTTTATTTCAACCATAATTTTGTAGTTAAAATATAAAAAAAATTAACATTATTAAGTACAAAAACCAACATTGAAGTCTAAAGCATTTATAGTTAGATGTTAATTATTATTAGATTTACAACCCAGGCAGTTAATAATTTAAAATAATATTCATTCATCATTATATTTAATATGTAATAAGCATTAGCAAACACAAAAGTTTTCAACTTGTTGTCTTTATAGTTAATTGCCAAGGGAAAAACCACCAATAAATTACAAAAAACCGCTAAAAATGGGATTTTAATTTCTAATGCTTTGTTTATCAATTATCACCATAAAAACAAATACAATTTTTATTTATTTTGTTGTAATTTATAATATTAATTCAACATACAGGCCTATAATAAAATATAATAACAATATAAAATATTCAGACTGACAAACCGTCTCCGCTCAGAATCGTTTTTTGTATACAATGATAATATGATATCATTAAATTCAAATTGAATACAATCCATTATACAGTGAACCACTTGTAACCTATTGTACAGCAGATCGGCATCCACTTAACCGTTTTTTTGTATTTTTTCGTGATATTTAGCCCTCCCCATACAGAATTCCTGGCTACGTCACTGATAATAACTATAATTAATTTAAGTCATATAATAAGTGTAATTATTAATTTTAAGAGTAGTACACTAATATTGTATTTACATAAATTATTACCACGTATATTCGTAATATTACTTATAATTATTATTGCTAGTAACATATTTTTTATAAGATAAATATAATTTTGTTTGTTAATTTTACAATATTTTGTTTAAATTATTCTATTTCCAATGTAAGGATAAAAATTGTAATACTATAATTATTGAAAAATGTAAAATCAATGGTAAAATTTCAGATTGATATAGATAGGTAGTTGTAGAGCCACTATCAAATATTTGTACAGAGTACAGAAGTTGCCCAATTGTCTTCTGGGCCTGGCTTCTATTTAATCTTTTTTTAAGGTGTGTTTTAAGGAATATGACTTACATTTTATACTTCCATCTCTCACAGGAACGCTAAATACTATATTATTATTCTTATTTGAAAAATATAATATTAGATATATAACCAATATGGGAGTATGATTAACTTTAAGAAACTAGTTAAATAAGTAATTATTATTTTCAAATTTTTAGGAACTTAAAAAACGTATAATATTTGAACTTTAAACTATCGGTCTCCAATAGTAAAAACTTTAACAATTAATTAACAACACATTGTTATACATTTAGAAAGTTATTGCGTTCTTACCGTCTTCATGGAGAAGCTACACGTAGCAACGGAAGTACACTAGTCACTAATGATATTAATAAATTATTAATTACAACGCACTCACGTCACCTACTCTTAATTTTGATTATAATTTATATTAAAAATTGAAATTGAATATCTTAAAAATCTACTCCGTGAACCTTACACATTAAAATTCCACTTCAACATTATTTATTAGGTATCTATTTTACTCAATAGTTTAAAAACCAATAGAAAAGAAAACTTCTCCATTAAAATAGCTGTATAACATAATATTTGTTAAAATAGTAAGTTGGCACATACTGTACTACTTTGACAACACCAATGAATTAGTATAAATACAGGGGGATTCAAGACTTTGTTCAATTACAAATTGATAGTGCTCAGCAACCTTAAATTAGTAATTAAAGTAAATGACAAACATATTTATATACTAATGTAAAAATAAGGTAATCGTGTTTATTTTTATTGTCTTTCATTAACAATAAACGTATCTTAATTGTGAGTGTTTATAATCAAGTTGTTAGTGTGGAGATAGACAAATATAAAAGTACTGCATTTTGAATACCATATTGATGTATTCAGGATAGTTAGTGCATCATACTAAACATTTGTAACACTCTATATTATAGCTTAATTGTTTCAAGAATATTTTCTACATTTTCGTATTAATATATTAGTTTTTGTTTCAATGAATTTTTGAAATCAAATTAAGACTTGATTTTCTCTATGAAATGTACTTAAAAATTTGGGATAAGCAAAATAAACTATTTTTTACAATCGAATGATGAATGAAATTTCTTAAAATACAAAAAAAGTACTTAAGAACATTAAGGTCATCATGCAAATTGCAAAATGAACAAAAAACACTTATTATATTTTGTAAAAGATTTCTATGTCATTATCTTATCAAGAATTAAAAATATTACTTGGAGCAAAGTTGATATTCAAGTATATTAAATTAAGAGCATTGGGGCATTTGTTTAACAATAAGAAAATAATTTATAAATAAAATTTGAATATATTACTTTAATTTTTTATTTATTTATGTTTTTTTAGAAATGCATAAGAAAGCATTTTTTTCACATTTTTCAAATGGATAGCAAAATAACTAGTGCTTACATTTTCCTGTGTGTATAGTAGGTATATATTGTATATATTGCAATATAAATAGTAAATGTTTCAAAATGTATAATTATATAGGTATTATAACAACGATAGAATTTGGTAACTACAATGGGATATAAAACTAAAAAAATATTATTCTCTAATCACTTAACAAACAACTAATTAAAACAAAATAAAGAAAGGAATAATAATAAGTATTATGCACATTAATCTTAAGTATAATATAAAAAACTAAATTAAAGTCTATACTCTATATTTTTCTGGTACCTATCAGTTTTAAATCTAAAACAAAGATTATGAAAATATTATTGGTACCTACAATAAAAGTTTCGCTAATCTATAAATTATAAATTATAACATTATCAAATTATGACAAATCAAAATATTTCTTGTTAGAAATAAGATTATCAACTATTGCTCAGGAATCATTAGACTGGATGATGAAAAACTATAAGGTAGAAACTCTTTTTTAGATAAATCATCTGATATTTCAGAATCATCTTCAGAATCAAATTCATCCAAGTGTTCGATGCCTGTTCGGCCCAAAAGATCTGCAAATAAATACAAATTTAAAATACTAATGAACAAATACAAAATAATTTTTAAATGATTAATTATTTACCATTGGGTTTACTTCTATAAACTTCAGATCCATATATATGTCGCCATGACATTGAAAACACAAAAAATACAAAAAGGAGATTTGATCCGATTCCTAGACAAGCCGATACTATCGGCCAATGAAACATGAGGTATCGTAAACCGCCCAAGTTAGCAATGATGTTTATCTTGGCAGAATAAATTTGAATATCATGATTTAACATCTCGAAGTAAATGTCTGTAACTGGATGTAACTAATAGATAAAATGCATAATATAATAAAATATTAATTCAAAACTATGCCAAAAAAATGTATAAGTACTTGATCTTCTTCAAAATCTGTATACATTTCCAGCTGGATTAATTGTTTTTCTGCAGATAATCCTGTCAGGTAAAATGGTACCATAAAAAATGTATGAACAGCACGATACAGTTGGCTCATGTACCTTAATCTACTGGATCGACAGGAAGACGATACAAGATAGCCGAATTTGTCACTCAAACGAACACAGAGCATAAACATTCCTTAAATAAAATTAAGCCATTATTTAATTATTTTGTAATGATTCAAGAGGAAGGATTATCCCTTTACAAAGGATAAAATATTAAAATATATTTAAAAAACATGTATTTATTTTCACAGTCAACTCACCAATTTCTTCATTAACCGGTGATTCTGGTAGCTCAACGTAAACAGTAATTTTGTATTTTTGACCAATCATTAATAACTGGTGGCTTTTGGTTAACTGAACATGTGCTGAAGGGTAATCACATAAACCTTTATTGCTGTAACAGGATCTGAAATCAAAATGATATACTAATTATTTAGAATCTAAACCCTATAGAAAAGTAATTACATTTTAAATTAATGTACGTACCTAAGTATATAAAAAAAATAATAGATAAAATACATATTATTATTATACATGTTTTTCTTTAGGAATTTAATTTATTTAGGTACTCTTCATAAATTGTCTATAATTTGTTTCAAAAGTATTCAAATATTAAAATTGACTAAATACTTCCATAAAAAAATTATATTCATATTTTCTTTTACACAAAATAAACAAAGGCCTAAGGATCAGAACAAATATATGAGATAAGGATTTTATATTTATAAACATTGTTTTAGACTATAGTAAAACTATACAAATAATAATGATATATTTTTAAATAGAGCAGCCATTTATTATTAACACTTTCTGTTTATTTGTAAATTATTAATTTTTATTAGTGTCATGTATTACATTAAAATTATATATCAAGCAGATCTATTTATATTGTACCACAATTTGCAATATAATATTATAAAAACTCAATTATAAGTTATAATACAAATATAATTGTTATTATTATAGAAAGTTATATCATCATTATACATTTTTAATTAATTTCTTAACTACCTATAATTAGTAACATAAAAAACATAATATTATATAATTATTATCATTGAAAGTTCATAATGACTCTTGGCTCATTTTATTTAAATACCCGTTTAAATACCTAATTGATAGTATACGCAGACCAGCTATTTAAGATAAAAACATCATGAACTGGACAATAATAATACAATTATTCGGGCAGCACCTATTTTGTATACAGACTGCAGTTATCTAAAATTGGTAAATAGTTGACAAACACGTAGCATTTGACACTAAGAAGTTTAATGTTTATTGAACTTTGTACCACTGGGATTTTCTCCAACCTATCATTGTATAGGGGGACAAGCTGTTTGGATAATTTTGGCCATTTAGGTAGTTACCATTCTTTTTATATTAGCAATTTAAGTAGATTATCAGTTATGTAAAAAATCATACACCTAATAAATAGTATGCACCTTTCATAATAAGAAAGACAAGATATTATAAATCAATACTCACTTGAACTGCATGTGAACCGGACGGCTGAACATGAGAGAAGGCATGTAAGCATAATAGAATGCTATGTACAGAAATATGGACACCCATACGATGGTAATGATAATCATTGAGAATAATCCACCCTTGTACGTTGTGTCCAGCAAAGAGTTAGCAGCATCTGAAGCCATATCTACTGTTTTGTTGACCTTTTCGTCAACAATTCTCTTCAACCCAAACATTTTCATCGTGTCCGACGGGTTTGTAATCTATTACTCTAACTATTGGTTATAACTTATGATTGCAATAGGTAAAAAAAAAAAAAAGCAACAAGTTGTACGTACTCTAGCGCGTTCACACCACACGCACTATTGTAATAGTATTATTCATTATATTGTGAAGTCTACATAATGTTTAACGGTTGGGCAACCTAAAACGATATCGTTAATTAATGGTAATAAATAATAACGATTGATGAGTAATGATAAACATAAGACACTATTATTCCGACTAAAATATTATGAAAAATGACGGGTTTAAAAAAAAAATTGATAACGGCTCGAGTGCTCGACAGACGGTCGATTGTATCGGAGAGTTGTACGTCTACCGTGCTAGTGTGTGTGCGTTAGCCATAGAGTTGTAGTATACTCTATGGTGTTGGCGTGTGAGAGAAGGAGTGTTAAAGGTTAATACACGGAAGGTATAGATCAAAACAATAGTAATCAAATCGGTGTTTCCGAATTGCTTGCGAAAATCATTATCTAGGTCGAATTTCGTGCGCAGTTTTTTCAATTTGCGTGCGAATTAGTTTACCGACTAATCAAGTTAGTTCGATAAGATTTCGAAAAATTGATTTAAAATGCAGTATAAATTCAGTTAAAAATTTACCTTATTACATAATACACATATTAAAAACAAATAAATAGATTATGATGTACAAAATAATAATGAATTATAGGTAGATATATAATATTATGTAGATTAGATAGGTATTTATTTTTATGTTTTAAATAGGTGTTGTTGAACTATTTAAATGTTTATAATATAATATAACGAAATAGACGTTTCATGTAAGTACCTATAGTATAAATTGTATATAGGTACGATTGAAAGTCGTAGGTTTTTTTTTTTATGTCCGTCATCACATTTTGGGACACCCGTAAATTAATTTAATATACCTATTCACATAAAACGATTTCCTATTTTTTTTGTTATTCAAAAATTATTAACCTGCGTGTCCTACTCATAGGTACCTACTTGTCAAAAATTAAAGACGTAAGTTAAAAAATCACAATAAAAACATTATAAAAAACATAGTTTAAAAAATAGATCAACAATTGTCAATGCAGTTCCAAAAGTGGACAAATACAAAAAATCAGTCAAAAATATAGAATTCAATTAAAAAAAAAAAATTATACCTATATACAAAAGTAAAAAAAAAAACATAAATAGAACTGGCAGTTTGTACATTCTATTCAAAACTTCTAAAAATACGAAAATATTTGGATACGAGAGTAGAACATATTTTTGAGTTTAAAATGAAAATGATATAGGCAGTCTGAAAAAAAATTTTAAATATTTTTTTATTTTTTTTCTCAAACTTTTACGCACTCAATTTAGACCTATCCCGAAAAATACTCTCATGCAACTCCACTCTTATAAATTTGTAAACAAATAAACTGCGCTCGCAATTCGGATGCAGCCAATAAAATACAACAGCTAATGAATATTTTAATCTTTATTATGGTCTGCACTTTGCACTATATAACAATAAATTATTATTTACGATGAGACATTAAGATCATCAGCAGTTGTAATAATATTAATTATAATTTATAATGTATAATATAGCGGCAATACTCGACAGTTCGACACTCGTAATAGTAAAGTTAACACTACGTCACTACCTGCTTGTAGTTTACCCACTATATAGACTACCTATAGTAGTGGTTCGTTCCCAGTGTTCGAATAATTGGAAAAAAATCAAAAGTTAAGAAGATAAACTCAACTAAATACTAATAGTATATAATCTACAAATTTTTATATTTCACAAAATAAAGCTAACATTGTATAATTAAGATCAATTCAAAAACTGAAAGTGCCATCAATACTGTTATATAACAAAGGATCAAATTTTTATAAATTAAAATATCTATTAGGATAATAATATAATATACATAGTGATTACAATATTTAACAATATATAGCCATATAGGTACCTACTTGAAGCTATTTGCCAAATTTCGTAATGATCTGTAGTAGTTGCTTGGATTTGACCACGGTTCATCAATTTCCAAATGGCAGTATATACAATAAATTTGATTTCATAACTACCTACACTTCCCTTAAAAGTTAAAGTATATGAATGGATTAAATACTCTGCTGTGGCCTGTGGGGTATCAAGACTTCTGATTTGTAGTCATGTAGTAGCCCAGCAGGCACGTTATTGAAGTATAGTTGCATTATACATTTTATCATAATATTAATGTTTGGAGCCCTATGTCCCTATATATTATGGAGGGCTGGGTATAGGGTTGATTTATACTTACCTAATTAATATATATTTTAAAGTAGCTGCTAGTTACCTAGTGCAGTAAATTATGTTATTATATTATTATTTTAGTTGTTTAGGGCGGCAATTTTCCACTGGATGAATGTATTAATTTTACAATGGTGTGTGTGTTTTTTTTATACCAACCATTATTCGGTAGCCCACCTGTACATTTGTACAGCAGAACGACATCCACATAACCACCTTTTTTTTAAATTACAGCATTCAGTTTTAATTTCATCTTTGAAAGCAGAAAATTTAGTTAGAGTATTTAAGTATTTCGATATATAAAAGTTGAATTTAGTAGTTAGGTTATGTTAGTTGCATAGTTACAAACCTAACCTAATCTTATTAGTTATTAATTAAAAATGTATGTTGTTATAGCTTAGATTAGTAATCTAAGTTTCTAACTTAACCTATTTTAATCATGTTCTTAAATTTACTGTATATTTATTAAGAAAGTAGGTATACCTATACATTTATGTTCTTAAAATATAAGGATAGGTATATGCATCAAAAATAAAAACCCTAAAATATGATTAATAAAAATTGTATTTTTTGATTCAGTATACAATATGAATCAAATTTTTTTTCTAGTTCAGCATTATAATGAATAAGGTAACTATTTGATTCCTATAATTATTACTATAGAAACATGTGATTATTATAACATTAAGTATACAGTCCGCAGATTTATCCTTGAAAATCGGTATTATTCACTCCAAACACCCCTAAAAATAAACTCTAGGATCGCCCCTTTCTGGGCAGTACCTTAGATAGGTACAACTATTTATACAAGTATATTGTAGGTACAATTACTATTTACTACATATTACAATGTAACTATCTCTGTTACAGTATGTGAAGTTATGGGAAGTATCGAGTTTTATATAGGTATTAGCCATTAGGTACCTACATAAAAAGATACTATATTTTTCATCAAAAGATATACCTACATTAAAAAGATATTATTAAACAATTAAAGATTAATCATTTATAATAATATTTAATAGAAACAGTAGTATTTACTATTTAGTATAGACATATTTTTATATTTATTACCTACGCTGTGTAAAGATTAGTGTTGATACCTATTATCTCGCTGGTCCTACACAACTCATATACTCGGTGTATATTACTATATTATGTGTCTATCATTCTGTTTTACAATTAAATACCTCCTACCTACGAATTACGACTTACGAGGTATTCGAGGTATACATTTTTTATGAATTTTTAACTCAAAGTAATTTGGAAATATTCATCATTTTTATATTGTGACTAGGTATGGATTTTGAATTTTTTTCATGTGTTTTTTTAAAAAACAAATAACATTTTATCGGTATTTATAGAAAAAAAAAACTAAAAAAAAATGGAAACTGAAAATGTCCGTAAAGAGCTCAAAATAAGTCAAGATATTTGGAAAATGTTATGGCGTATAGAAAATGCTAATATAAACATTCAGTTAAAATTTCATGTATCTACGGACAACAGCCATTTGTTTTAAAGTTACACCAAAAACCAAAATCGATTTTTTCGAAAACAGATTTTGTGTAAAAATTAACGTTTTTTCTTAATTTTTCTTTTGTTTTCTTGGCGCTTTTGAAAATTACTGGGAATTTTAAATTTCGACCCCCTTTAAAGTACCAACTATATTCACTTTCCTATCAGAAAAGTAACTGTCAAATAACCCAATACAAATATTATATTATTTTCTTAATACTCTGAATTTATATATTTTTATTTTTGAAAATAATCTTAATAACACTATATAAGTACAATTTGTATTATTATGATTTATGTTTTCAATTTTTCTGGAGTTTGGGTAGGTAGTGCACATGCACTTGTGCACATATACACTAGCCACCACTTAACTTAATTACATTTCTATGAGCGATTGAAGTTCATATTTTTATAACATTAGATATTCACTCGATTTTTCATGTACTGATTTTGTTATTTTGTTGTAATTAAAAACGAATAACTGTAGGTACATAAAAATTTCACTGAATGTTTATATTTTCACTTCCTATACAGCAAAAAACTTTGAAAATATTTTGACTCATTTTGAGCTGTTTACGTAAGTATATTTTCGGTTTTTTAATTTTTTTAGTTTTTTTTTTCTATAATTGTCAATTAAATTTTATTTGTTGCTTAAAAAAAGTGTTAATATTGAATACAAGGCTCCAGATATATTTTTACAATAGTAGTTAAAAAAAATTATTTAAACAAGTTAAGGTAGCTGATAGAAAACACTAATATTTCAAACCTCTACTATCCACAACTTTTTTTGCGTAGGTACCTATCTAGATATTACTAATATAATTTAATACATTTTTTACATATTTTAATATTTTGATATAAATATATTATTATTATAATTAAAAAAATATATACCTATATAATATTATATACTATATACCTTCCGGCTTCCACAATAGTGTATCTATATGATATTAAAGTAAAATAACCGAACTAACTTAATATTACGAACAACGCAATCCATATAATAACTACACTCTCAAATAATGTAGGTTGTCATTAAAAACATTCTTTCAGACTATAAGGTACCTACTTTACTATAAAGTAATAAAGTATAAAATTCAGTACACTAATAGAACTGCACGCAATAAGCGTACCGATTTAAAAACCTTTTTTATGTAATCAGTCACTGACTATCTACAAAATAAATTCAGT